GGAAGGTCTCTGGGTCGACAGCTTGGCTCTGCAGAAATACGTGAGCGATAGGAACAGTTGGCGGGACACGGCTTTTCACGGGATTATACGAGACTAATAGAGCTGCTCTGCAAAACCATCCTTCTGGGATGTGAATGTTTTTCAAAGCTACATAAATTTTCTTTACTTAAATACAAAATTTAAATATAAATAGAATTGTATTTTTGAGTGTCAAAACATATTCATGCAGACAAATTCCTCCTCTCCTCTCTTTTCTTTTTTTTTAAAAAAAACCAAAGACCCACAGTCTTTGTCATGTTCTTAACATAGCCATTGTATGATTGTATAACAAATAAAAACCTGAAATGACAAATGCTATATGAAAATCTGTAAATGAAGCGATGCCAGCATATATTTGCCATTGAATCCAAAATAAATTCAAAGATGTTACAAATGAGTAAGAATAAGAAAGTAGATTTTTATCACTATCGTTAAACAAAATAACGACTTCAAATAAAGATGCCTGAAACTATTACAAAAGCTAATGTGAACAGAGTGCCTAATTCTTTCAGGGCACTTTTGCATAAACTGATTAGCCATTAGTATAAAAAAGCTAACACAATTCTAAACTCCATTCTAGATACTCCCCTAATATTTGCTCTAGCCAGAATAATTTCATAGCTTATTCCACACTGACCTTGGAAATCAAGTTAATATAAATTTAAGTGCCCTTATGAAAGAGGAACTTTAAGCTCCTAGAAAATGTTTGATGGATATTTTAAGAACATGTTCTAAAATGCAACAGTTCTCAGTCTCCTCTGCAAAATTACTTAACTGTTTCCAGTGAGATATTAATTAAATTGAAAGATATTTACCACTTAGTTTGAAATAAAACATTATTCATATTTTTTTTTGGTGGTGGTATTCCAAAAGCTATGTCATATTGCATTAAAGTTTCACGCTGCAAAATTGAAGTTCATCGATAAACTGTCTCCAGCTTAACACCTCACTGAATTCTGTGTTGTACCAAATGGGCTTAGAGATAGTTTTCTCATGTCCGAAGCAGGATTTCATTGTTCCTATCTCGTATCTAAACTGCCGAGCTAGTTCAGAAGTTATGCTCAAGACGTTGACGAGTGCTGGGAAATGAAATAGGTATTCTAGGCTTGTCTGAGAATATGAAATCATTATAGAGACATGTACAGCTGGTTTTGGAAATACAATTTTGATGCAAGAAACATCAAGCGCTAACTTCCCCCTCCCCTCCTTTTTTTACCACACTTTTTGGCATCATATAAGACTGAAATGGACAAGAACCAACTGAAAACTAATAAAAAACAACTGTGGGGAAAAAAACAGATGAAAAAGAATAGAACAAATTCATGCTGCAAAGTTTAGGAAGCATGTTCATAATTTAGAAAAAAAATACAGTTTTAAGCTCTTGGAATGAAATCAGCTGCTTCAAGTGAAACTTGTCCCTTACTACACATTAATTAATTAAGGGGAAAACTACTGGTGAAATTACATGTTACAGGTTTGCTCATGCAAAAGCTTGTTGCCCCCATCACACAAAGGTCTTGATCTTGCTCCTCTGGCTCCTAGGTCTTCATATTCTTTTTTCTTCTTTCCTATACCCTGTTGCTGGCCATGACCTTACCTTTCTCCCACACAGTCGTTCCTCCGACCACCAGATAAGCAGAAGCCTGTTAATTTTTTGGGTTTGGTCAGGTTAGTCGCATGAAGCGAAGTGGCTCAGCGCAAGTCAGAAGCAGAAGAGCTAGATGAGCGCGGCAGGGGAGAGGAAGGAAGACTAAACCCAGGGCTGAAGAAAGCTTTTCAGGTGACCCTGAGCTGTTAGATGGACTCCCATCAAATATATATAACTCCATCCTAGCTTGCAAGAAGTGTTTTATAATCCTCTTTTTCACCACATGTTTTCCCTTCACCTTGACAACATATCCTTTAAACACAATACCTAATACATGCAATGCAATGTCCAATATACCTGGCTAACTAGTTCTGGTATTCCTAGAGCCCTGTCAATTTCTTCTAAACCATCAAAATTCCTCAATGCCATGTAAAGTTGATCCAGGAGAGCACCCTCATCGCTTGGTGACTCTGATGAAGGATGATTACACAAGAGATCATCTGGTGAGCTGCCAAACGGTTGTCTGTGAAAACATAAACACAGTGTTTGTAAACAGCTGCTGAAAAAACAAGAAATAGTATCAGAGGATTAGTACTCAAATTGAACTAACAAGTGGAGACAGAAATCATTTTCATCACCGCCAATTTTGTTTAGAAAACTACTCCAAATGAAAGTTATGTTCCCCAAAGAAACAGCTAAATAGCGTGATTACTGCCTGTCAAGACCATACAAGCACGGTGTATCCAACAAGTAAGCAAGCACACTAAAGGTATGCATGAATGCTGTTTTCATATTGCAGGATCAACAGAGGAGCACAGAAGTCAGCACAGAATATAGTCACTGAAAAGAAGACTAAATTTTTTTTTAACTAATTGTAACTTTGAATCTTATACTTTAGATTAAGTATGCTATCACAAGTAGAAAAAGAACCGATTTCCACACACACTCTTCTTAAGTGGCTTTCTATCAGACTAACCAAGCTGAAGAGGTCACAGAGGGGTCCACGGACTGTCTGAGCTCACACAACCCGAACCTCTGGAAGAACTGGCCAGAAGCATGAGGGAGCAGGGAGAAAAGGACATTCCTCTCTTTGTTCACAGGAAAACACTGCACTAGCTCAGCCCATCTTACGGAATTGCACACTTGGGTACCAGTTTACGCACTTGGTTATGTGCCTCAGAAGGTGACGTGGTTTAGCCAGGACAGAAGGGTGTCAGCAAGAATTTGGATACTGTCAGGCAGAGCGTGCTGGCTCTATAAATCCTGCCTACCTCACCCCTGAATTTGTATGCAAAGCACACTCACAATTACAAAGGCAGAATAAAGGTTTATTCCAAACCCAAAGGACAAAACTTACTGAAAAACAAACTAAATCTGAAATAACACCTTATCTGCAGCCAAATGACATACTTTTGCTTTGCAGTTCACACATGAGCCCTACTTCACGCACAATACTACAAGACTACAATAGAAAATATAAAAAGCAAAGCATTCTGCAAGCAAGGGCAGCTACTATATACACATCATGGGAGCATCTCATCCCAGATAATTACTCAGAGACAACAAAAGCTGTCACACATGGAGGGAGAAAACAGCACTGTATGTGAACCCTTTTTACATGTCTGTTTGGAAAAACAAAGAAACATGTTTGTGTATTTAGTTTCCATAATGAGATATATGGTTGCCATGGAAGTCTAATCTCTATGTCAAAGCTAAACAGAAGGGAAGAGCTGCATCGTCAGGCTATACACCTAAAAACCCAAAGGATTGCAAGCAGGAAAACTAACAAAAACATATTCTTTTTAATTAGATCCTGGACTGTAAAAAATAAAAATAAGGAGATATATATAACGTACCTTTAAAACATTGCAAAGTATTAATCAATCTCATCTATAGAGAAGTTTCTATAACTCTTACAGAAGAAATAATAAATCAGTAAAAGGGAAGAGCAGGAAAAAAAAATCCTTTGAATCAAATTACTTGCAAACTTTAAAGATGACTTATAAGAAGGGATCTATGATCTGGAAAAATAATCGATGGGGCTACCAAAAAATTCTCCCTCAAATTGTAAATGGGGATGAATACATACGGTAAGAAAAAGTTTAAAACATTGTCAAATTCTGTATCTTAAACAATGACAATTACTTTGGTTTTCCTCCATTTCTTTTATATAATACAATCATAATGTTCAATTTTTCTCTAAAAGAATTATTTTTACTAACAATTTAACTTTTATCAAATTTAATACCATGATAATCAGATTATAAAAATACAAATCCCAGGGATTAATAAAATAAGAAATGGCAGCACCAAACAATTCATTATCTCTGGGTGTAAATGATCAAAATATGATTACTTTCAGATGCAATGCAATGGGAATTCTTCCCACCATCTTCAGCTGCAAGGAAATTATGAGAAATGCAAAGGTAACAAAATGGAGGAATTATCTGCCTGGCTTGCTGACCAAACATGGTCCTGTATTTTATTTTATGGTATCATTTTTATAGTGAACAATTAAGTTGTGCAAACAGTGCATTTGGCACATGGACACCTTAACTGGGGGAGAATTAGGAAACACCTTGAAAAGCATGAAAAAGTTAGAAAAGTTAACAGAAAAAATTCCACACTTAAATTTACGGATATTTTCGAACATCCTTTCATAATGAAAATTAAGAGAATGTAGTCAGAAGATCAATCTTTCTTCAAACACACTTCCAACTTCTTTCTTTTCATTTTCTTTTCAGCACTCCTCCCATTTACTACTGAAAAATATCCTAACTCATGCAATTCAAACTATTTCAACATTTCTCCATTATCTGTCTATTTGGTATCACTTAGACTGTGTGTGTGTGTGTGTATATATATATAGTTTCTCTAACTTAAGCGGCAAACTCTTCTGGGAAGACATGTCTTTTTTAAAAAAAAGTGTAAATTGCTTTTCATAGTTACAGCATTATTTAATAGACTTAATAATGAACAACGTTAATATATTACGTTAATAACTTGTCATCAAACTGTGGTTCTGGATACCCGAGAAGGAGCTAACTTGAGTGAAGAGGCAGCCTCCGTTTCACTGGATCTTTCCTTCCTCACCTTTTACAGAATTGAGGTCAGTTAAAAACCCCAAACAAAACAAATTAATGATGTCCTGCACTACTTAAAACACTATCCCGTTGCAGGAAAAGACAGCTATGTTGTAACTACAAAGGCTCTGGCATTTTTCCACATTTAGTGTTAAGTATAATTGTTAACAATAAAACCAGCAAAACCAGACAGAATCACACCCATATTAATGCTTGAGAGGTGAAAATGGTGCAACTACCCAAAGCACTGGCAGAATCCACAATAATATAGAACTTCCAATTCTTCCAACACATTAAATGGCAAAGAGGGCATTTATAAGTAGTACTGAAACATATATGCATTACACAAGTATAAAATACTACAAGCATTAAATTGATATACATTTGGTGAGTATTTTACGTAGGGCTTTGTTTCCATGAGGCATAAAAAAATATAGGCATGTTTTGATGCACCGGTAAGACTCACCTGCTCTGACTACCAAAAGTTGCCTGATCGATAGGCAAGATGCTGTCTGGCCATGGTGCAGTCTGATTTGGAGGCGCCTGCTGTTGGCTATACTGAGGTCCTCCTATGTTCATCTCCAATTCGGATGGCCCTAATCAAGGAAAAATAACCACACAATTTTGTGAAAAGAATCTAGTTTCATGTTCCTTCTTTCCATTGGATTATCTATGTTACAGTAAAAGCAAACAAAAAACATAAAGACTTCAGTAACACTACACTTAAAATCATGATCTTTTTGTTAAAAATTGCTTTCAAAATTTGAGAAAATAACATGAGAACTCACAAATGGTTCAAAACCACGAAACAGCAGATACAACGCCACAGATGCAAAAAATTAGTAAGATAAGCATAAAATAAAAGACAGTATACAGAATCAATATAATAATGTACTTGCTTTAAAAGTGACCAAGAACAGTGATAATGTTCCCAGCATTTCCTCCTAAAATCCCCCTCAGTTTATAGTAAACAAGAGCAACTTCATATCCTCTTTCTTTGGCCACACCACTGTGGAGCTAGAGAGTAGCAGGAATTGTTCACATCAATACACGCACTAGAAGTTAGTGTTTTACCCACCTTCCTCCCCACTTCCACAGGCAACTTTCACTGTGGAATACTGTTGTCATCAAATCTATGATTGAAGTGAGTCTTTTTTTTTCCCTTTGTTTTTTTTTTGTTCCTGCTTCATCTTTGACAATCCAGTGTATGCCAGAAAGCACAACTCCACAGCCGCCCTGACTTACCCATATTCATGACCTGAGATGGAAGCATCTGCCTTGGGCCAGGCTGGTTGCTGGGTCTCAAGGGGATGCTGGCCGTGGGGTTGCGGATCATGCCTGCTTGCACTGGCCTGTTCATGGCACTAGCTGTGGGCGCGCAGGTCACCCTCACAGCAGAAGCCTGGCTTCCCCAATCTCCAGATGTCATGGCAGGCCGAGGGGCATTGCCACTGATCATTCCTGCACGAAAGCCAAACAGACTTAGGTGCCAGCACATGATTCAGAACAACTTTAGCATTACAAATGCCTGATGAGCTACATTTTTAGCGATGAAAATGCAGTAGTTTCACTCAAAGCACACTGTACCACAACTGCCCGTCCAGATGCGCAAAGCTACAGAATCATGCCTTACGCTACTTAGTCAAGGGACTGGAGATTATTATACATTTTACATGAGGAAGATCCTTTTATCATTTCCGAAACGCTGTTCAGAGTAAGTGTTCCCACATGTAGTCTGCAACAGGTGCCGAGGGTGTGTGGATAGCCCTAACTTCCTTCCTCAGGAAATGAATCACGTTTGCTGATGTGTGTGTCAGTGCTTTACTTTCCAAGTGCTAAGTGAGAACGCAGATTTGAGTAACGTGTTATCACTACACATGCTTACAAATTAGAAGGATTCAATTCAAATTCGCGTTCTGCAAACATCTTTACGCGAGTCCTTTCATTCGGAACCTTGAGCCTTCTTAGCTTCAAGGCTCACCCAGATAATCTCGAACCAATATACGGTGCAGGGAAATTACTCACAGGAACTTTCCGATAGATGCTGAAGTTCATTACCGTTATTTTAGGGGAAGTCCTCCTACATCTACTGTAAACAACTGATACAGTTTATTTACACTTGGAATATATAGAGTACTACACTCTGACAGTAGTCAAAAAAACCCAACCAAACCCCAACACAAAAAAACCCCAAACCCAAAGATGTGCATTCCTAGTATTTATACATTTCAATTTTATATAGTCAAGACAGCAGATAAAACACTGATTTCAGATTGGACTCCAGCTGTACTTTGCAACATCCTAAAATGAATACTAAAAGCCACACAAACAATTATTACTTGCCAGTTCAATTATTTGGTGATATATAACCAAGGAGAAAACCCCCTCTGAAGAGGGTCATTGCTTCAGCTGCTGTAGAAAATTTGCTTCATTTGTTACATCCTCAGGTTTGCTCTATTTGTGTATATATTGTATCAGCTGACATATGTGGTGTGCTAGAGCAAATGGCAGGAACAAAGATAATACTCTCTAACTTGTATACATAAGATGAATAACATCCTCTAATATGTATACAGAACATGAAAGTAATAGGACACTTGAAAGACTACAAGTTGACCTCTAAACTGCTTAAATAGGATATTTCAGCGTCTGGCAGCATGTCTTTTGTAATACTGATGCAAACTAAATATAAAATTTTGACAGTGAATAGCCAGCTGAAAGGTCTTACAATACCCATTTAGTTACTCAGAGTTCTTAGTGGCTGTTGCTCACTTGGACAGTCTCAGACTATGTGCTAGTTGAAGTAAGTCGATCAGCCAGACTTTTCTTGTGAAATCCCCTATGGTATCTTTGTACAGTATTAAGGAAACATGAAGAAATAAATTCACCACAGATCAGGCGTAATCCATGACAGGAGGTAATACCACTGCAACATCTGGTGGTTCCCCAAAAGTTTATGTTTCAGAAAATTATGAAAACATTATCATTTCTTTAATTTAAAATAAGAACTATGGCTAATAAATAAAGGACAACTGAGGGCAAAATCAAGGTCTGTAGAGATACACATCGTAAGGACAACAGTATTGCCTACAATTTTGTTTTGAAAGAACCACCTCTACAGACAAGTGGTTCATTTATTTGCTTTACTGAGGCAGAAAGACTGGATTTTTACCTAAGTCTCAGCTGAATCTGGAACACTGATATAAACACACTCTAAATGCCAATACACTGTGTTCATCTAGCAGTTTTCAGGTAGGTGAAAAGTAGTGCTGAAAGAGCAGGACTAAAAATACGCAGAAACAGAAATTAAAAATAAATACCAATACATAGCAGCCCATGAAACACGATTTTTCCCCAGACATTTTGGAAAGTACGTATAATAACCTGCCCTTGTAATAACTCCAACATTAAGTTACACATGCAATAGTCTGTTACTCAAGCGTATTTTCAAAAATGGAAAGCCATCTTACCTGTGCTACTGTTGCCTAAAGTTCCTTGACTTCCTATCATCCCTTCGTTCCTGCCCATCAGTCCTGGCTGAGGTATCACTGAATAGGGGCTACTTGCTCTTATGGGTGGGAAAGTTCCTGCACCTGTTGGATTCTGCAGTGTGATGTCAAGTGGTAAATTCTGGTTTGGTAATAACCTGCCCAGTTGCCCTGCTCGTGGGTTATTAAAAGCTAGAAAGGAGGAGTAAAGAGAAAAGCAAAGTTACAAGAATGGAAACTTTACTTGTTTAAAAAAAAAAAAAGAACCCAAACACACTTTAAGCTCTTGGGCTGAGCTATTTAATGCTGCACAATTTACCCACTCCATATCTGTCTGAGACACATCCCTTCTTGACATTTTTATGTAAATTTCAAAATGGAACATTCTGACACTAAACCAGATATGACTTATATTTTTAAAACCTTAAATGATGCAATTTAACTTACAGAAGAGCCACTACAGCAAAATATACCACTATGTGATATGCATACTACTGCCAATTAATCTCATACCTAGTAGGACTGTAATTGCATGCAGATGTCATCCTGAGGCAGACTGTTAGGAATTATCTCAGTTTTGAAAGTTTTCCAGCATAAGCTGTGCCCCTGAAGAAGTTACCAAAATTAATGACAGACTGAGTCTATATTGGATCTTGTAGCCCCATTTCTACGTCTCCTGCTAATTTTTTTTTTACTTTTTTTTGTCATTAATAAAAAGAAATACTTCCATGATTCAGCAACAACAAATAAGCGGTCCAGAACAAGAGCTGTGACACCATAATATTCTGGTAAGCAGAACCATGCCTGATTGTTACTGTCACCTTCATATAACTATTTTCTTGTGTTGAGGTGTTTTGTGCTCTTAAAATCAGCCTCTGCAAAGAAAACTGCAGACTGTCTCGGAGAAACAAGCTTCAGACCTCAACTGGCAAGCATCTGGCTCAGCTGGTGTTTGGGCAATGTGCCAATGCCTGAAAGCATCCCCTATGCACACAACTAGTTCTCACACATGCGTCAAACACCGACCTTGTGCCTATGATTCCATTTCCAATCAAAATACCAACAAAATATATACAAATAAATTAACCATTTTTGTGAAATTATTATTTGCAATACTTCCTGAGAGCCTCCCCTAGGAGAGTCTCTGATATAACGGCATCCATAAAGTGACTTCTGCATTTTTATATTCACCACATTACAAAGCAGTTAAAGAACTTCTTTCTTATTTTAGATCAAAGTAGTGATACTTTTGAATCTGAGAACTTAGATGACGTTTATTAAACTTGTTAAAAAGTACAGAAATATCTTATTACAAAGGTCTCTGACTTTTCTTCTTATTTTATAAAACCAGATTACAGGAACTCATTGTATTTATTTATTTTTTTAACAGAAGTTCTCTGCAAGGTGAATTTGCTTATATGTGTGTATAGGAAAAACATTACATCACATACATCTAATTCCTAACCATGAGAGCAAAATTTTGTCTTGTCTGCTCAAAGAAACAAACAAGACCTACTTATGAGACAAAAATGACTTTCCCAAGCCTATGGGCACCATAAAGTCTAAGGATTGAACCAAAACCCAACTTCAGTGACAGTTTCAGAACAGTTTGCCCCATGAGTTTGAAAAATCACATAGATGAGTAAGTTATTATAGGGGTAGCTTTGCCAGCACCCACATAATTCTGAAAGGAAAGCTGGAAAAGCAGCACAAAATAGTAACACAGTTGATGAGGTGTGATGGTGCTCACATCACATATTCTACTCTTGGTCAGGATGGGACTGACCCTGTCCCTGTCCCACACGCAAGAAACTAGCTATTTGGCAAATCTAGGAGCTTTCAAGTCTTATATTTATTTTTAAGCAGAAAAAAAAAATAATCATGTAAAACCTGAAAAATGAAAGCTGGTTATTCCTTCAGAAAAAAAATTCAAAAAATCCCAAACCTCTTTTGGAATTGTGTATGATTTGACATTCATTCTACATTGCTTTTCTGGGAGCATACGAGAAGCCACTCACTATTTCTGTGCACCTGTTTTCTGGATGCTCTTCTGCTGAAAGCAAGGCAGAAGTTCCCTAGGGGAATCAGGCACAGACACAAGACTGAGCTAGGGGGAAAAGTTTTAGGGTTTTAATTTACATGGGAAACAGGATGCTGCTTTTACAGAACTGCAGCTAACCACCAAGACCATCTCATTTACAATCATTCTGTTACTGTATTGCTGGTAGCTCTGAAAGGAGAATTAAAACCAGGGTAACTCTGGAAAGCCAAAAGGCTGCAGTGGAAGGAACCGGCAGACCTTGCTTCAGAAAGAATATGCTAAAGATTTCGGATGCACAGATTTACTTCTGACTTATGTGCTGCTGCAGTTAGTACCCCCTGTACTTACAAAGATGAGCACTTTTAATCCAAGCATCTTTCTCTGAGTAACACTGATAACAAATGATAATTTAAGGCTCTGTAGTGGTTTTAATATGAATTTAAACACTAATATTTATTATTAATATTTA